AATTACTTTCAAAGAGCTTTCTACTCTTAAATTGAAGAATTGCTGCAATACTTCATTGCTTCCCCCCCCCTTCTAAAACTACAGCTAAACCAACCTCAGAGTCTATTTAAGAACCAGAACCTGTTCTGCCTCAGCCAGCGTAAGCATAAACTCCATTCAAGGAAGTGAATTCTTGGAATCAGAGAAATTATATGGCAGGGAGAGAACGTAGGTATGGATCCTGGAATTAGAATGGCAGAAATGTTCAGAATTAAATGTTTCCTAATTGTATTACAGGAGCGACCCAGAAGCCCTGGCTATTACCTACTACCAATTGTGCTTGGTGCTGCACAAATGTCTAGTGACAGTCCCTTCCCTGAATAGTTTACCACCTAAACACAGAACAGGGGAAGGGAGCATAGAAAAATTACCCCCATTTCACAGCTGGAGGAATCGAAGCCCAGGGGGCTCAAGTGATTTGCCCACAGTCACAGAAGAAGTCTGTGACAGAGCAAAGAACAAAACTCAAATCTCCCAAGTCCCAGCTACCTTAATAGCAGAATTGCCTGTTTGGGCGTGTTTGGCCAAATACATTATTAAATTATTATTATTGTTAAATGTTTCTGGTTGTATGACCCATGGGCAAAAGACTGTTAAAATTCAAGGGAAAAGCAGTGCATGTGCAACCCACACACCTACTGGGTGTGGTTCACTGTCCCATGTAGTGGCACTTAGACCACTCAAAGAGAGTGAGAACAAGTTTGCCATACAGCATTAATTGAAAAGCAGCTGGCTTTCATGCACTAAGCTCCAGAGGTCCCAGGTTCAATTCCATCTTTTGGTGCTACACATGCACTAATTAAAAAGAAAAATACTATTTCCCCAGTAGGCAAGAAGCCTTGCTGAAATGGTTAGCACTCCCTGGCCATGGCTACACTGTCATTTTTTTGCGGAAGAGGATATGCAAATCGCACTCTCATTTGCATATCTTCTTCCGATTCTTTTTGCGGAAGAAGTTTTGCCGCTAAAAAGCCCCGTGTAGACGGGACCATTTGTCAGGAAAAAAACTCTTTTTCGCAAGATCCTGTAAATCTTGATTTTTGAGGCATACGGTATCGTGCAAAAAGGGGTTTTTTTCCCAACAAATGGCCCCATCTACCCAGGGCTTTTTAGCAAATGAGAGCGCGATTTGCATATCTTTTCCACAAAAAACCCCAGCAGTGTAGCCGTAGCCCATGAGGGGCAGTGGCATCTGCAGACAGCTGTTAGCTCCCTTGAATTAGGGCAAGGGTACTGGAACAATTTTTATCGTGGGGGTGCTGGAAGCCATTGAACCAAACTGCTAGCCCTGTAAACACTGCAAGCCAGAGGGTGTGGCAGCTCCCCCAGCACCCTTAGTTCCAGCACCTATGATTTAGGGTAGCCCCCAGGCCTTGTCTCGTTAAGTAGATCTTGCTTTATTTTGTCTAGATTTTTAGAAGGTGTTAGTACCATCAAGCTAGCCACCAGGATCCCGCTTCCCAACATGAAATCTATGCTCTCTTTAATTTTTTCCATCCATGTGCAGAATACATTGTGTTATGTGCACCGAGGCATGTGCGGATGTGCACCACAATAGAAACACATGCTGTCGGCTGTGGGTACTCTGCTCATCAGCTGGGCAGCATCAGAATCTCTCCCAGACAGCTTCCCACGTACTCAGCTTACAGGGAACATTGCTTGAAATCCTAGTCTAGATAACACACCGTGGTGGTCATCCAGACACTCTCGTTTCCTTGCCAGAGGCTCCCAAAAGCTCTGAGCACTTTGCTTGACAACTTTAGTCAGTCTCTTGCACTTTCCCCTTCCATAGCCTAGATCTTAACTTCAACTGGGGGTTTTTAAGCCTCGTTTTCCCAGGTGACTGACGTATCTGCCTGTTGATCTAGTTGCCAACATCACCTCCTCTTTAATATCAGCCCATGCTCCGAGGGGAATCCCTCCCCCCTACATCACAATGGGAGTAGACAGCAACTCCACTTTCTCCAGTTGGTGCCTCTGAGGCTGGCTGCACATTTTCAATCCCCGTCCGTTGTGCCATGTGTTTTCCCTTTGGAATAGTGTCACTACCTTTATCCTGAGAACAAGGGCGGCAGCTGTCGTTGCTGGCTCTGGTTCCCTGGGGCACTGCACACAGAGTGGCCTAGCAACTGAGGTAAAGAGATCGATTTCCCCCCCCCCCCACACACACACCACACACACAGTAAAGGAAGTGAGTTCCCCTGTGGCTACAGAAATGTGCCCTTGTCTCCTTGCTGCTCTTCTTTTAAGCACAAACTCTTCTTTTAAGCTCTCCCCCAGCTGTGCAATCAACCCCTTAGCAGGGCGGAGTGCTGGGGCCAAACAGGTTATCCTTATTCAGGCCCCAATCCTGCACGTGTGCCACTTAAGCACGGGTATCCCACTGCACACTCATATGCTTGAAGTCACACTTGTAATCTGGATTACATCTCCTTCGCAGACTACAGACCACTACTCCACAAAGGCTCCATATGCCACTTGGACATGGGTGCAGGATAAGAATGGTAGATCTATCCTCTACCTAGCTCCCTGATCTACCGCAGTCTTCTACACCCCCTTCATTTAGTCCCCTGCACTATCTTTCCACAAGACCCCTCCCTCATTTCATGCTCCCTCTATTCTGCTTGTCCGTCAAGCCAGGAAAGTGAAATTGGGTTGGCTAGATACATTTTCTACCAATTGGACCTCTGTGGTCTGGCACCCTCAGGACCTTACTGGTCCTGGATGAGGGACTTTTCCAGACCAGGGAGAAGTCATTTTAGGCCCCCTGCTGCCACTTCCCTCCCTGCCAACCTCCCCCACCGGGCTTCCTGGCTCTCCTCGCAGATCAGCTGAGCCATGCGTCAACTCTTGGCCCCTCCCCAGCTTAGCTGAGCTGCACGCCGCCACCCTGTCCCCCCTCTGCAGCCCAGATGAGCCACACACAGGCTCCTGCTCCTTCTCCTCCCCTGACAGCCCACCTGAGCCATGCACCAGCTCCCTGCCTCCCCCCACAGCCCAGATGAGCCGCGCATCGGCTCCTGCTCCCCCCCCCCACAGACATACTGAGCCACGTGCTGGCTTCTTGTCCCCCCTCACAGCCTAGCCGAGCCACGCGCTGGCTCCTTGCTCCCCCTCGCAGTCCAGATGAGCCGTACACTGGCTCCTTGCACCCCTACAGCACAACTGAGCCATGCACCAGCTCCTGCCCTTTCTTGCAGCCCAGATGAGCTGCACACCAGTTCCCGGGCTCCCACCCCCCTGCAGCACACCGGAAGTCTCTCATCCTGGAACATCTGTGCTCATGCCGGACCACAGATGTTGTCAGACCAGAGAATCCTGGATTTTAGAGGTGCAGCTTTCCCAACCCCAAATATCCAAAAACGGTGAGATTGCCTTAAAATCATGACATTTTAAAAACAACACCTATGGGTGCCTTTTTTATTATTTATTATTTGTATGGTAGTAAAACATAGGGGGCCCAATCACAGACCAGAGTCCCGCCACGCCAGGTGCTGTACAAACACAGAACAAGACAACAGTTCCTGCCCTGAGGACCTTACAATCTAAGTATAAGACAAGAACTAACAGGTGGCTACAAAACAAACAGAGAGAGAGAGAGAGAGAGAGAGAAAGCAAGAGCGTGCACACTAAGGGTGCATCTACATAGCAGCGTTATTTTGGAATAGCTGACGTTATGTCAAAATAACAAAATGCACGTCAACACAGCAAGCCTTTATTTCGAAATAATGTCGAGCTGGAGGGCTTCTTACTCTGATTCCTCTAACTCTCATTTCATGAGGAGTAAGGGAAGTTGAAGGAAGAGTGTTCTTCCTTCCGCTTCCTGTTGTGTAGACAGTGCCAAAAAGCCGAATTAAGCTATTTCGACTTCAACTACATCAGGGTTCTCAAACTTTGTCATACTGTGACCCCCCTCTAAGTTGGTGCAACCCCCCCTAAGTTGCTTGCGACCCCCCTGGGGGGTCAGAATCCACAGTTTGAGAAACGTGGAGCTACGTCAACTGACATAGCTGAAGTTGCGTATCTTAATTCGAACTTTGCTCTGCAGTGTAGACATGCCCTAAGACAGTACTAATCAGCATACTGAAGCGTGGACACAGCACAGTAGTTGTGTATTTATTTGCCTTCTTCCTTTTGAGCTGTTAAGAGTTCACATTTTCAAGCTTTTCTCTAAAACCACAAGGGCTAGAATTTTAATGTGATATCACCACATTACTCCAGGAGCCTGGGTTTTAAGAAAAGCACCAGGAGAGGACAAACACTATGATCCGCCACTTTGTTTTCTGATTCTCTCGCACATGCACCATGCTGTTGTGTTGGGTTTCATCATAGCTTGGGGGAGTTCAAATCCCCAGAGCCCTGTTTTCACTGTAATTTTCTATTTTAAACACCCTTTGAAACATCTCTTTTTAACATTCAAGTTGCAATCCCTTTCTTTTTTCCCTCTACTCACTCCCCTTGCTTTTTTAAGAAACATAGATGAGGACCTTAAAATCACTGGGACAAGTGTGATTTCAAAGGATTTTTTGCCTCTGTACCACAAATCATGAATCATCACTGTTGAATCTGCCTGTCTGCATAATCCTGTTAACGAGTTAATTATACAATTCCGTCTCACTGATAATGATTGTGAAGAAGCAACTAGATTTTAAATCCAAGACTGCTTAAGCTGACCTTTTGCCAATGCCAAATGACAAGAGTTCATTTAACATTTGACAAGGACAGGATCATTAATGTCTCTATGAGTAGCAGACGATGATTGATTCACAATAAATGACATCCTCCACCCCGTGCCATATGAGGCTGATACATCTCTTAAGTCCCATGTAAGTCTCTAGCCTCATAAGGGCTTAAGTGGTAAATAGGCCTTCATGCTGCCCTTTGTGTATGGTGTGAGAAGGCAACATTTAACCTTCTCATGATCTAAGATTTGCTTCCCGTGCTTTTATGGTGGCACTTACGTTTCATCTGTGAAGGCAATTCCGAAGTATTCTTTCTCCTTCAGGTTGAAATGAGATGCCACCAGGTCGAGCAGCTCCTTGGCCAAAAGCTTTGGCTGGAAGGAAGGAAAGAGATCTGTGAGTTTAGGTTTGATGTATTCCCTTGAGGCTCCCTAGTGCTAGCAGTGAAATCTCTTACGTCCTCACCCAGGGACTCAGAAAAGAGACAGTCCTGTCAAGAGGGGCTGGAACAGAATGTAAGGGTAACCCATTGGGGTGCATGTGTCACAAGACTCCCTCTGCACCTAAGCCACAGAGAATAGGGGTTTGCTCTAGGGATAGCTAAGAAAAAAGGAATGAATTATTATTTGCCTTGTGGTAGCGACCAGAGACCCCCCTGCTAGGGTTCAGGGCCCCCTTGCACTAAGCAATGCACACACGCCCAACAATGAGATCTGCAGAAGAGATTACAAGTATATGAGAAGGGGACACAATGAACCAATGCAGAGCTTCAATGGCATAGCTGAAGACCAACATCCTCTGTTTACTTAAAAGTGGGCCCCTTTTGGAAACCTCTGAGTGACTCTGGTTGAGGGTCACATTGGTAGCAAAATCTGAAATCAGGTGACTCATGTTGTCCAGTTTCCAGTGGGACCGCTCTGCCAACAACCTTCCTTGTGGTTACTACCATGGGGCTAGCAATGCTTAGGAACTCTTAGTGAACATTTACTGTGTCAGTAACAGTAGACAGGTCCTCTTGACGGATCCCTGACTATATCCAGCTATATTATAGGGATGATGTATCTATCACAGCTGCTGAACTACTGTATCCTGTTAGATGGGTGTGAAATCTAACCAGAATATCTATTTCCCAGCCTCCCTATGAGATTGTTCCACTCCAGTCATTAAGCAATTCTTCTAGTTGCACCAGCTCGTTTAAGTAAGATTCTCCCCTTGTGAACTAATGAAAATAGCTGGTCCCTGTCCTTTTTAGACCTCCCCTTCATTTATTTGTAGGCAGGAAACATGCCTTCAGTTGCTTGTCTTTACTTCAGACTCAGCATGCCCTGTTTTCTCATCCTGCTCTGATAATCTTAGTTTCCAAAGCTTTCCCATTAACTTTTAGAAGCGCATGTCTGACCCTGGGACTTGGGAGAAAAGAGGAGAATGAAGGCAAGCTTGCAAAGTGCCCTTCACAGGAGCATCAATCGCTAACTTACCACTTAAGTTCCCTAGCCAGGATGTGCACATTCCTGAAGCAACATGAGACCCTTTCGCACTGTATTCCTTATCCTTGACTATACAGGCAGTCCCCGGGTTACATGGACCCGACTTACATCGGATCCCTACTTACAAATGGGGTGAGGCAACCCCGCACTAGCTGCTTCTCCCCAGCAGACCCCCCCAGCAGACCAGGGAGACGTGGAGCGGCTTTTCTCAGCAGACACCTCAGCTTGAGAATAAAGGACTGAGGGAAGTGAGGTGTAGGAGAATAAAACTGAGTTCTGGAGAAATGTTTGGCTAGAGTTTCCCCTACAATATGTACCAGTTCCGACTTACATACAAATTCAACTTAAGAACAAACCTACAGTCCCTATCTTGTACGTAACCCGGGGACTGCCTGTATCTAACATCAGCCCTTTCCTTCTAAAATTTCTCTCCATACCAGCTCCACTGGCAGGAGGAGCTCTAGTGTAGACATGGCATTGGCAGCCGCAAGTGTTTACCACCATGTCACTGTGATCTTCCTTAGATTCAAGCTCCTACCATTGATAGCACTGCTATGCCAATGTTAGCAATCGTTGAATTTTTCTGGGGAAAAAGGCTAGTGTTGACAAGGCCTATGGGCTCACAGCTGTATTAGTTACAACAGCATTAAAACATGGCTATGGCCTGTGGCTACTAGGATGGTTGCCCTAACCAGTGCTGATATGGATTGGGGCCCTGTCTACACTGCAGATCCTACTATTTTGGGGACCCAGGTATTGTACTGCAATTTCTAGACTTGGCACTTAACACAGATTAAGCCAGCTAAATGTTGGAGTCAAAAGAGGTACACCAGGAATGACTCTAGCCTGAAGAGATTGTGTGATTTGACCATGGTTGTATAGGACATATGTGGCAGTGCTAGGGTACGTGGTGTCCCAATGTCTAGTTCTTGTACCCACAAGAACAACTCCCATCCCTCCTGTAGCCCACCCTAAATAGAGTCCAGCTACTGCTGCACTCTTAATCCACATTCATAGAGCTGATACCCTGCCCTCTGAAATGCTTCCTTAAAACTGACGTCTGCCATGAAGCCCAGAGCTCATTGGCACTGGTGAGGCAAGTGGCAACTTGAGACTTCTGCTGATACGGTTATTTGTATCTTACATCAGTCTGTCTGTTTCGTTTGCCCGTTACATCTTGACACCCAGAGCAGGGATTACTTATCCGTACTATGAAGTGGGGCCCTGATATTTGCTTGTGGTTTTTAAGTCCCACCACACCAGAAATCATAAAATAACAACAGCCATGTTTAGCTGTAGTTGTAGTTCAAACCATTTGTTCCCCACGCATGGGCAGGGCCTGAGTTACCGGGCAGGAAGGATGGCTAGTTAATGAGGAAGTAGAGTGGGTCTCCAGAGACCTGATTTCAGTTCTTGACTGAGACTTCTTATGCCTCACCTTGGCCAAGTTGCTTAGTAGCGATGTAAATAGAGGTTAGGAAGCTAGTTGAATAGTCAATGGAATTTCCATCGACTACTCAATTAGTTGATAAGGGAGTTTGCTGTGGCTGTGCTTTTTAAATGTAGTAAGAGCAGCCAGGCTCTTACTACATTTAAAAAGCAGAACTGCTGCGGTCTGGAACCAGGCGCAAGCTGGTACTCAGCTGTCCCAGCTTGTGCCATTTCCCCTGCTGCACCTCTGCCTCCCCTGTCCTCTGCGGAGATGGTGCTTAGGGGAATCGGCTTTTAAGCCGGCTCCCCCCTGCAGCCTCTGATATGGAGGCAGCAAAGGGGGGAGGGGGAGCAACTAGTTGAGTAGTCGACTAGTCACATCCCTATTGCTTAGTCTCTCTATTCCCCTTGGGTAAAATGGGGGTCATTTTTGCCGACTTCTGAGGGGGCTGAGAGGATAAAATCCATTAGTCATTGTCCAGTGCTTGGATGCTGTAATGTTAGGGGCTAGATGAGTATCTAATAGGGATGTAAAATCCCATTTATTTGGTTAACCGGTTAAACATTATGTTTAACTAGTTAACCGATTAAAGGGGGTGCAGGTGGGGGTGCTGCTTTAGCCCCCCTGCGGATCTGGAGTGGCTCTCCCCCGCCTGTCAAAGCCAAACAGGAGATCACCCTCCCCACCCCCGTAACCTAGCCAGAGCACGTTCCTGGGCTCCCTGTGGACAGAGGCTGTTCTGGACGCCTGCAAGGCACCTGAACTCCAGCTGACCGGAGCAGCCCCTCTCCGTGGCAGGTCTCCCACAAGGTTGGAGCAGCCCCCTGGCCGTGGCAGGCGGGAAGCTGCTCCAGTCCCCGCTGGTTAACAGTGAACCAGAACTGGCAAGTTAACCTATAATGGGTGATGCTTTTCTCATCCCTGGTATCTAGATAGATACACAGACAGATAGTCGATACCTCTTCAGACCCGCCTTAGATTCGGACAGAATTGTAAAAATGGCACAATTCCTCTCATTTCATTTAAGCTTGAATGCTGACAGCCCCTCGCCCATGCCTTTCTCAACTAAATAGGACCCCTCCACACACCCCTCGGATCCTTTACCACTCCCCTTCCATGGACTGGGGCACAAGCAGCATTCCTCACAGTCCTGTGCAGCCACCCAGCTGGGGGCGGGGGAGGAGAAAGGCTTTTCTGTTTTCATACGATTCAACAATGACTTTACAATACGAAGCACGCGCGTGATGACAGCACTGTCTGTGCAGCCACGGACATTGATGGAGGCCAGGTGAAGCGGGCTCCTCATAATGGCATAGATCCGGCATTGAGCTCTGCAGCTGGCACCACCAGGCAGCTGCCGCTCTGCCACCACACAGATACTCAATAAAGGAGCAATTATGTTGCCCAGCAGGGAAGCCAGACATCAGCTTCAGGGGCCACCCTACCTGCCAGAGTGGAAGCAAGGCTGAGATGTGGTGCCACGACACTTCCCCACTCCGCCAGCCCCAGGGCAAGAGGGGAGGTCAGATTTGGTGTTCCACTGGGCAGAGGAAATAAAAGGCGGCGTGCTAAATAAATGACATGAAACAGACACAGGTGGTCCTAATCCTGCAAGGCACCGAGTGCCTGCTGCTTTGTGTGGTGGCAGGGTCCTCAGGGAGCACCAGTAATCTGAGTAAATGCAAAGTGTTTGCTCATTATTTCCGCAGAGAGGAAGCATCTGATTGATACAATGCACGAGGTCGGCAGGGTTAGCGCCTCCCTTGCGGGTTACACGCTCTGCATTCTTCTGACAACATCCTGGACAAAACCAAAATGTCCTTTCTGGCCCCTTGCTGCAGTGAGGCAGGAGCAAGGTGGGGTGAGGTGGGGTGGGTAGAAGGGAGACTCTGCTTCCAGCACTCCTGTTATTGGGTGGGGCCTCTTTAAAAATCTGCTCCATCAGATAAGACGGGATAACCCTTGGCAAGGCAGATAAGGGAAAGGAACAATAGATGCAAAGATGGCTTTGGCTCAGAGCCAGGTTCGTTACTGGCTTAGCGTCCCCGCAGAGGCTTAAGACTGAAGTTAAGCTCTGCTAGTCCTCTCCAAGATTACTTTCCTCAGTCATCCTAAGCTTTGTCACAGCTGCGCAAAATTATTGGCCTTTTCCGTGCTATGGAATCGGCCCCTTCCTTCCTTGCATGGAGAGGCCTGGAAGGGATGAGACTTTGAGGGGGTGTGACTCTGATTCTCGTGGGCAGGAACTCACTAATACAAACGGGTTGGCCCACCTGGCTAGGACCCAGGGCGAAAATTCTGGCAGGGACAAGTGAAGTGACAGCTTGGATCCTATCTCAAGACGGACCCGAGCACTGAAAGTTAACAGTTAAGCTGACTGCAGTTCAGGGTGAGAACGGATGAGCCGTGACCTCCTTTCGTGTGAGCTAATAGATAAAGAGCTCATTAGTCATGT